AAATTCTTCAAGGGAAAAATCTACCTTATTTCCCAGCAAACTCAGGTAGAGCTGACCTCCTTCATGACACAGCACGCTGACTTCAAATTTTGAAAGACTCCAGTGAATTGGCTTTCAAAAAGTAACTACCTACTATGGTAGAGAGGAAGAGACACAATGATAAATATATAGATACATAAATGTACTCTGTCATCACCGAGTGTCGACTCTGTGCCAGAAACTGTTCTAACCCCTGGGGATTTAGCACTGAACAGAGAAGAGGAAAATTCCAGTCCTCCTAAAGTTTACATGGGGGAGAGGCAGACAATAAACAACTAAATCAGTAAGCCATATGGTAAGTTAGAAGGTGACAGGTGACGTGGAGGAAAGCCAAGCAGGAGAGGGGCTGGAGTTTGCAGGGAGGGAGCCAACCAGGGAGTCTGGATGCAGGACAGCCTTGTTCCCCTCACTCATTGGACAGCAGAGGGTCTTCTTAGTTTTCTCACTTTCTCACCAAGTGGACTCTCAGGTTATCTGGCAGAGAGGCTTCCAACCCTGGGCCAGGGTAAGCGTGGAAGCTGAGTGGAGGTGGAAGGGAAGATAAAATTCAGGTCCTCTCATCCTATAATCCATTTAGGGATCTAGAGGAATTATTGTGGTGGGGCAGACAATTTTATGCCAGTAAGACATAGGCTATGAATTCGATCAGGGTAGATATTGATCCAGGGATAGAAAGATGTCTAAGTCATGTCCCTTGAGAATTCCCAGTGTAGTGGGGAAGCACTTGTGAAGACATTTGCTTATTTCATTTTATCACACAGGAGTTTTCCCACACACTTCTTTAAAGAATGCAGTTTGGTTTCACTCCGTCGCCCAGTCTGGAGAGTATTGGGGATGATCACAACTCACTGCAGCCTCAACTTCCCAGGCTCAGGTGATCCTCCCACCTCAGCCTCTCAAGTAGCTGGGACCACAGCTACCATGCTGGCTGACGCTCTCTCTCGCTCTCGCGCTCTCTCTCTCTCTCTCTCTCTCTCTCTCTGTGTGTGTGTGTGTGTGTGTGTGTGTGTGTGTGTGTGTGTGTGTATGTATCTTTTTTGTAGAGACGGGATTTTGCCACATTGCCTAGGCTGGTCTTGAACTCCTGGATTCAAGTAATCCTCCCACCCTGGCCTCTGAAAGTGCTGCGATTGCAGGTGTGAGCCATTGCACTTGGCTGTTTGGCAGCATTTTGACTTAAACTTTCTGTCTGTGAACAAACAGCATTTGAAAAGTGTATGAAAAGGATAAAACAACAGTTTGTTGATAGTAAAAGCTCAAACATTTTGACTGGTCAGGTTAAGAACAATATGGCCAAAACTGTATTTGTTAAGTTTCTTGGAAGGCGTTCCTTCCCTTGAGGGAAAAAAGCAGGTTGATTCTTACATTTTCTTCTCTAGGATATTAGGTTACGGGCAGACTGAAAGCGTAACAAGCAGCTTAGGCGTTGCCTGCTTCCCCATCTACCCCCTGTGCAGCTGTGGGACCTCTGCCCCTGGCCAGCAGAGCTTTTGGCGCAGTGTCTGGTTCTCTTCTTCCTGCTGGGGCCCAGAGTCAACTTTCCTGCATCCAGCTTGCTGTGTTTCCCTCTTCTAAGTTCCTCAGTGGCCCTCCAGAATCTGGACTGGGTTTGCCTCTGGTCTACACTGCTCCTATCCTCCTCCTCTCCACTTGACCACGTGAAAGGCACCAGGTACCAGCTTCATAATGCATCCCTGCTGCTCCCCACAACACCTCTCCACTGTCACGCTTCATTGTCTTCATTTCATTTGTCAGAGGTGTGATGTTCACTTTTTTAAGTGCAGTGAATCATTAACACTCCAATAAGTGACTTAATATCTATTAATGACGATTCACAATATAAAACTGATTTAATGTCTCAACTCACTGCTTCGGTTTTCTCATACACGGAAACAGCTAAGTACTACCTAGGAGAAAGGACGCTCATGCATGCATCTTGCTCTTTCCTATAATGCTTCCTGGGGTTCTGTCTTTTCTCTTAGCAATGCACTGATAATTGATGGTGAAGCACAAGTAAGAAAGAGAAGAAATAAGGAATCGCCCTAGGAATCCTTGAGAGAAACACTTTTGCTTTTGTTTTCAACTCCACGCACAGCCTGTTTCCTGCCCCTATTTTTTTTTCCTCAGAGGAGCTGTGCAGGAGATGCGCCAGACTCACACATAGATCCACAGCTCCCACAAAGCGTAACCAGCAAACCCTCAGAATTCTCTCTCTTCCTTCTGGCATAGGTTATGCAATAGGCTTGTTTTTCCTTCCCTCCTTCCCTCCTTCCCTCTTCCCTCCTTCCCTCCTTCCCTCCTTCCCTCCTTCCCTCCTTCCTTCCTTCCCTCCTTCCTTCCTTCCTTCCTTCCTTCCCTCCTTCCCTCCTTTCTTTCTTTCTTTCTTTCTTTTCTTTTCTTTTCTTTTCAGGCTGTAGTGCAGTGGCATGATCTCAGCTCACTGCAACCTCCGACTCCCTGGTTCAAGCAATTCTCTTGCCACAGCCTCCCAAGTAGCTGGGATTACAGGCATGTGCCACCATACCATGTCTAGCTAATTTTTGTATTTTTAGTAGAGATGGGGTTTCACAGTATTGGCCAGGATGGGCTCGATCTGACCTCATGATCCACCTGTCTCGGCATCCCAAAATGCTGGGGTTACAGGTGTGAGTCACCACACCTGACCAATAGGCTCATCTTTACATCTCGTCCCTGAAGAAGAGGAAAGAATAACACCTTGACAGTGACTCAAAAAAGACAGCAGATGCAGATGGGGTCCTTTTGATGAAACAGGAAGTATAGAACTATGTCTAAATACTTCTGATTTGATTTGAACATTGTATTTTATCAGCAGATAACATGTGTTATACAAGTAACTAAAACAAAGAAGTAACTAAACTTCATTATAGAAGTAACTAAAACAAAGCATGTGGTTCTACAATGTTGTTTTTTGTTTTGTTTTGTTTTGTTTTGTTTTGAGACCAAGACTCACTCTGTCACCCAGGCTAGAGTATAGTGGGACGATCTCAGCCAATCTCAGCCCACTGTAACCTCTGCCTCCTGGGTTCAAGGAATTCTCCTGCCTCAACTTCCTGATTAGCTGGGATTACAGGTGCCCACCGCCACACCCAGCTGGTTTTTTATACTTTTAGTAGAGACGGGGTTTCACCATGTTGGCCAGGCTGGTCTTGAACTCCTGACCTCAAGTGATCCTCCTGCCTTGGCCTCCCAAAGCGCTGGGGTTACAGGTGTTCCACAGCCTGGTTCCACAGTATTCTTTTGGCTTGTTTAATTCTGAGAAAGTTCAAAATAGGGTTCAGGAGCATTCTCCTCCCGAAATATACCTGGAGTGAAAATGCGTGTTGGATGATCACAATTTGGGGTAATAATTGTTTGACAAGTATTGAACAGCTGAGCTCCAAGGGTAGAAAGATATCTAAGGCTTGTCCAGTGAGGATTCCTGAAGTAGTGGGGAAGCAGATACAAAAATCAGTTCAGTTGTGATAGTGTAGTAAGTGTTGTAATAAAGGTATACACACAGAGCAGAGAGGACCAAGGCTGGGGAAGCTTGAACAGGATTCAGACTTTCATTAGGCATAGAGGCAAGAGAGCAGCTCATGGCAAGGGCTCAGAAGCTGCCCACCGTCGTATTTGTAATTTAGTGGGAAAGGGGAAAAGGAGGTCCTGGAACAGCATTTTGCAACCAAGCTGTTGTGCCACAGAGCCTCGTCTTGATCCTGTAAGAGGAGGGTGGCTGGTAGAGTTTTATCAGCAGAAGAGAAAGAAACGAGACTGGGAAGATGAGTTAGGTGAGAGCTGGACGAAGATGGACCTGATCTAGAACGCCTCATGGCAGGAAACCAGTTAGGCAATGATCTCCTGGAGGAAACAAGGGAGGCCTGACCAGACAGTCTGCCTCAGTTTGTGACCAGCCTGCTTTAAGTTCAACCCTTCTGCCGGATGGTTTTAAAAATGTATGAGCCCAGTATTGAAAGGGAGAAAGTCTTCGAAGAGAAAGGCAGACCGGGAAGCATGAAGTGAGAGTACCCAGTGAAAGGAAGGGCGTTTATCAGTCCTCTCTCTAAATTCATGAGTGAAATCTGAGAAATTTTGGAGCTTCAGTGAATGGGAAACTGGTGATTCCCTTTACTGCATCTAGTTCATTTTTAATTTGCAGTCATCTCTTAGCTGATGAAATAAGAAAAATGTCTTTCAGCGGTTGAAGACAGCTAATGAGAATCAGGCTGTCAGAGTGGGCGGTGCTGCTGATGTGTGGTTTATGACTGATACAGGAATCAACTTGTTGAAGCTCTCTACTTGTCAAAGCACCATTAAATAACCCAAGCCCAGAGTTGTTTCATCTTCAGGCAAGAGAAAGTGAAAATGGCTTCAAAAGGTACAACATCTGAAACAAACACTATAAAATGAATCCACACCTGTCTTTGAAATTGTAGTGGTTCAAGCACACAGGGACAAGTAACAGTGTTTATTCCCTGATGCTAATGAGCTTGTCTGTCTTTGTCTATGGTGATTGTTCTTTGAGACAAACAAAAACAATGTGAATTGTGTCTGACTGTTCTAAATAGAAAAGACTGCCACACTATTTTTTGGTGGTTATATGATTCAAAAAAGTGATTTTTGTTCTTAATTCCTAGGAAGCAGGCAGAGAAATCACATTACTGTGGACCAGTGCTCCTTAGTGGATGAGTTTTGTGGCATGGAGGTGATTTAGTTAGCAAGAAGCCCTGCCTGTTTTCTGGAGGGTACTGTACTTGTCAAACCAGCTCCTAGGACAGTGCAGGGTTGTGACTGGTGTTTCAGGGTTCTCTCTGCACTTAAGTCCTTCGCTTTTGATACAAATAGCAAGACCATCCTGTTCAGCAGTTGACAAATGACTGTGTGTACCACAAGGCAACAAAGATGAGGCAACTGATGCATTTGTAACTCCGTGTCTGACTCAGTTCCAGTTTTCTCCTTTCCAAGTGGTGAAACAGGAAGCAACATCCCATCAGGAAGAACCTGAGGGTGCCATCCAGTAGCTTCGCTTCACGTCACTGACTGCCCTCAGTCAGAAATCTTGACTTGCAACTTTAGAGGGTGGGTCTCTGAAGGAATTTCAGGGCTTACGCAGAGATGAGGGGTGTTGCTCTCTGATGAGAACGGAGCTGGCTGGAACTCTGGAAGCCACTCTCTGACTGCACTTCACAAGCAAGGGGCACCTTTTGTGGGCTGACATTTCAGAAAGGTAGGCGCCATCTCATTGATGTGGTTAGTATTTGGGGACTTTGAAAACCAAGGTGGCCATGATTCCGTGTGTGAGCCTATGTGTGTGTGTGTGTGTGTGCGCGCCTGGGCTTGTGACAGAGAGAGGGAGAGGAGACAGAGAGAGGTGGGGAGAGGCAGCCAAATGAGAAAATGTTCATTTTTGGCTGACGTTTGGGAGATAGACAGAAAAGATAGACTTGGGGCCCTTTGCTTTGTGGAGTTTTGCTCGGAAGTGTTCAGTAGCGGAGGGTAAACGTCGAGTCCAAACTTCCACTCCTGACCTGCATTCCTTGTTCTCGGGCCAGTTTAAACTGATTCATTGAGAGTTTGGAAGAATGGTTTGGGGAGTGAAATCCCACGCGGCCGAATGCTCAGCATGGCTTGGTTTATTGGAAAGCCCTGACTCCAAGTGGAATGAAAGGGTCACCACAGATCCTTGCCAGGTGGCATGGCAAAGGCCATTGCCTTAAACTGAGAACAAGGTGGGACTTGCCCACTCCACAGTGGCAAGCCTTCCTAAGCTGCTTCTGTCTTGAGAGATGCAGTGCTCAGTGTTACGCCAGGAGGAATGAGCTGTTTAGTTCTAAGACTGCCAGTCTCCTGCAGAAAAACGAAACAAAATCAGACTACCTTTTCTGATCCAAGCAAATGTTTAACAAGAATGTTCTGTTAAGCAAGAATGTTCTGTTAAACATTTTAGTTTTTTTGAAAGCTTTACACAAAGCAAGGAAATAAATCTTTAGGGCTGACCAGATAATGAATTTTAATTTATTCATTAACCTGCAATGTTCAAGTGCCTTCTCTACCATAAGTGAGTGTTTGACTTTAAACTTCACCTTTTCATTGTCTTCCCCCACAAGCCTTATGTTTTTCTTAAAAGGAGTTTCCATTTCTAATTTCATCAGCAGAATCTCTGGAAAAAGAGACAAGTTCTTTAAAGAGAAAACAGGCGTATGTTCATAAAAGTAATCATTGTGTGGTCCTCTCATTAATGATATTTCTGCCTTTTTCTTTTTTTTTTCTTTTTCCTTGAGATGGAGTTTCGCTCTTGTTACCCAGGCTGGAGTGCAATGGCGCGATCTCGGCTGACTGCAGCCTCCACCTCCTGGGTTCAAGCAATTCTCCTGCCTCAGCCTCCTGAGTAGCTGGGATTACAGGCATGTGCCACCACGCCCAGCTAGTTTTTTGTATTTTTAGTAGAGACAGGGTTTCACCATGTTGACCAGGATGGTCTCGATCTCTCGACCTCATGATCCACCCGCCTCGGCCTCCCAAAGTGCTGGGATTATAGGCTTGAGCCACCGCACCCGGCTTTTTTTTTTTTTTTAAAGACAGTTTCTCTTTCTGTCTCTGAGGCTGGAGAGCAGTGGTGTGATCCTGGTTCACCACAACCTCTACCTCCCGGGTTCAAGCAATTCTCCTGCCTCCGCCTCTCAAGTAGCTGGGAGTACAGGCGTGTGCCACCACATCCGACTAATCTGGGAAGTTACTTTTTGATTCTCTCTTTCTTGTGGAGCTGATCCAGCTTTCAAACAGGCTCTTAAGCAAAGTAATGAATGTCCTGTGCCAAAAGTCCTCCAAAGCACAGTAAAATCAGGCAAAAAGCAAGAACATCAGATACTTATTTTTCAAAAGTCAGTTTGTTGTGGTAGGCCAGGAAAGTTACAGTTTTGCACACACACACACACAGACACGCACACACACACACAGTTTATGTGGGTTTCCCTGGCCTCCACACCACAGCAGAAGCACTGCCAGGAGCTGGCAGAGTACTCATGGGAGGAAGGTGCTGGGCTGGCTCCAAGGGAGCTCCCTCGACTCACAGAGCATGAAGTGTATCATGGCAACTGTTCATTTATCTTGGGCCCCAAGCCATCCACACAACAGCCTTGGATTTTCTAAGGCCTCTCCAATATGAATTTAGGGATACGATTCAAAGGCTGACCTACAGATGTACACCTTTATAAAGACAGATTTGGGACAAAAGCGACTGACTGACTTATTGGCAAAAAGCCTGCCGTCAAGTTCATCAAGCAGGCCAGCTGGCATCAAGAATGGTGTGTTGGCAATCTGTCCCCATGTCTGAATCCTGAGAAACTGCAGATCTTAGTAGAGAGATAGGAGAGAGGAACATAGGGAAGGTGTCTCTGGAATCAGATGCAGGTATATTATTCTTTTTCCTGGAAACACCTCAACACACAATACAACAATCTAACTGATCTTATACAGCCCAAGTTTGTGGTTTTGTCTATTAGGTGGACCTAGGATGATTGAAGAAATCCTTGTGCCAACTCTAGACAGACCAGACAGCTGACAGCATGAAAGAAGGCATTCTAAAGTAGTGGGACTTACTTTCCTAAGCCCCGTGCAATCAAGCCCATCCTTTAACAGCCATACAGTATGTGTTGCCTTGAGATTTGTCCTTGTAACTGGAATTTAAAATGATGAAAACATAAATGAAGCTAAAAGTCTAATTAAAATAAATAAATTAGGACTTATGTATAAAAACCCCAATGGGCAAGTGAGCAGAGAGATTAAGCTTTGACCTTGTACAAAACTGTAACAGCCACGATTCTCCACAGAACTTTCTGCTAATGGTGGACAGATGTTCAATTGTAAATGGGCTTCAGTTTGATCACTTCCAAAGGTTGTTATTATCATAATTTCAAGGCTGAGAAGTTCCATTAGTAAATAGAAAATAGCTCTGAAGAGAAAGGGATTTGGTTTAGGTGACCATGAAACAAATTTTACCTTTCCCATGTATGAGAATTTTAAATGTCTCCATCTGTGCATATCTTCCTGCTACTCAAATATAAAGTTAAGGGGTTTTGGGTGTTTATTTTTTGGCCTACCTGGCCACTGGAAACTCTGCGGAGAGGGTTTGTGCTGGTGGTGGGATTACATGTTTCAATTTAATGGAAAGTTTCCTTTTTATTGTTTCCTGGGTTAAATCTTTAGGAAATACCAGGAAACTAAGATGTTTAACCAAAATTCCCAAATCTGTCTGCTCGGGATTTGTAAACACACACTCACACACATATACACACACACGTGTGAATGTGCATAATATGAAAGCACAACCGAAAGATAAATGCATTTTTCATTAATGGGAAAAGTGTAAAATTCACAGGTAAGGCGTATATTTAGGTTATTCAAAGAGCTAAAATACTACGTTAAAGAGTTTGAAACCATTTTTACTTATTATATTCATGTTCTAAAATGAAGTACTTAGTGAAGAAAAATCATGTGATAATCCATTTAATTCTCTCCTGGGATAAGGTTTGTTTTATTTTGATTTCTTTGCCAGACATATTTTATTGGATAGTCAATGAATACTTGTTGATAAGATTGATCCTGACACAGGCTGAACAATAAACTAATCATTTAAAAATTTAAGCAAAAATTCTGAAAGCATTTTCTTCAATAATGAAGATGACTTGACATTAATAACTAGCTTGGCTTCAATTTCTTCCACTCAAAGTTTGTTTTCTTTTTCTTTCTTTTTTTTTTTTTTTGAGACTGAGTTTCGCTCTTGTTACCCAGGCTGGAGTGCAATGGCGCGATCTCGGCTCACCGCAACCTCCGCCTCCTGGGTTCAGGCAATTCTCCTGCCTCAGCCTCCTGAGTAGCTGGGATTACAGGCATGTGCCACCATGCCCAGCTAATTTTTTGTATTTTTAGTAGAGACGGGGTTTCACCATGTTGACTGGGATGGTCTCGATCTCTTGACCTCGTGATCCACCCGCCTCAGCCTCCCAAAGTGCTGAGATTACAGGCTTGAGCCACCGCGCCCGGCCCAAAGTTTGTTTTCTTGTTTAACATGATTAAAATTTCAAAAACATACAATATGCTGATGCCGAACAAATGTCAAATTCTGCAGATTTAGCAGTTTTCATTTGTGATGTTCACATCACAGGATCATTACTATATTCCACTTAGGGTCAAAGTTACAGGGTTTAGTAATGAGCTCTTCCTATCCCATTAGCTGTAACTGGCTTTACCTGGCTTGATTACAATGGAGATCTGCTTTATGTGGAATTCTGGGCTCTAACTAATTGTGTAAGAGTAAAACTTCAGAGCTTTTCTAGATAATGACTATAAACTCATATGCAACTTGAATTTTCCTCAGTGATTGTTATGTACATTACACTACTGCAGTGGTTTTCAAACGTTTTTGAGCATTACTGATAATAAGAAATACTTTTTATATCTCAACTTAGGGCACATACACAATTCTGAAATAATAATTTCACAAAACAATACTTATGAGTATTGATGTTTTTTATTTCATTTCATTATACTATGCAAAATTTCAGGTTGTAACCTACTAATTAATTTTGTGACCTACTTCTAGCTGTTCTCAACACTGTCTGAAAATTAAAATCAACTAGGGAACAATAGACCAATGGAATGGACTAAAGATACTAGAAAAAACCCTCTATAAATTTGGACCCTTGATTTATGACAACATTGGCATTACAGGAAAAGATGACCATTTGAAAGTCCATGTAGAAATAAATGGATCTTGATTCTCATCTCAAAATTCAGACAGCTCTAAGTATCAATCTAGATGTGACAGGTAAAACAATATAACTTCTAGGTCTTCACTGTCCAATATGGCAGACACTAGCCACGTGTGGCTTGCTATTGAGTACCTGAAATACTAGAAAATTTAAAATTACATACATTACTCTCATTTTTTTATCTGCTGAACAGCATTGTTCTAGAGACAAAACAATATAGGTATGATATTGGGTCAAATGTGATTTCTTAAACAAGATACAAAAAGTACTAACATGATGAAAAAGATCTATAAATTGGATTATGTTAAAAATAAGAACTTCTGTTTCTCAAAGCATACCACTAAAAGAGTAAAAGACAAACTCCAGGAGAGGAGACATTTGCCATGAATGTAACATGCAAGGAGTCATGAATATAACATGACTTGTTATGCATGTAACAAACAAGGAGTCATATCCAAAACAGAAACAAGGCAATTTTGAAAGGTAGGACCATCACAACAGAAAAATGGGCAAGAGGTTTGAACAGGTACTTCACGGAAAAACTTATTTCAAACAACCAAGAAACATAAAACATGCTCAACCTTGTTGGCTTTCTGGGGAATGCAAATTAAAACCACAATGAAGTACCACTACACACCCACCAGAAAGGTGAAAATGTAAAAGACAGACAATCGAAATGTTGACAAGGATATTAAACCACCAGAACTCTCATACATCACTGGGAGGAGTGTAAATAGTCATGAAAGCTTTGAAAAACTGTTCAGCAATATCTGTTAAACTGAATACACGTACGCCTTATGACCTGGTGTTTCTACTCCTAGGTATACGTTCTATAGAAATGCATTCATGTATTTATCTAAAGACATGTTTAAGAATGTTCACAGGGGCCGGGCGCGGTGGCTCAAGCCTGTAATCCCAGCACTTTGGGAGGCCGAGGCGGGTGGATCACGAGGTCAAGGGATCGAGACCATCCTGGTCAACATGGTGAAACCCCGTCTCTACTAAAATACAAAAAAAAATTAGCTGGGCATGGTGGCACGTGCCTGTAATCCCAGCTACTCAGGAGGCTGAGGCAGGAGAATTGCCTGAACCCAGGAGGCGGAGGTTGCGGTGAGCCAAGATCACGCCATTGCACTCCAGCCTGGGTAACAAGAGCAAAACTCCGTCTCCAAAAAAAAAAAAAAAAAAAAAAAAAGAATGTTCACAGATGGCACCTTTAAGTGTTGTAACCCCAAACTCAACCCACATTTCCATCAACAGAATGGGAAAACAGATTGTGATATAGTCATTGGATGAATATTAGATGTCAATGAAAATGAGTTTGCTACTGATACATGCAACAACATAGATGCATCTCAGTCCTAAAAGTTGAGTGAAATAATACAGATGCCAATGAATGTGCTCGATAAATTGTATTTACGTAAAGTTCAAGAACAGGCAATGTTAATCCATGTTGGTTACAGGGAGGGGGTATCAGGAAGAGTCTGGGGTGCTGGTCATACTCTTTTGTCCTGTTACTTTACCATCGGTAAGTTATACTTCAATAAGTAGATTACAGTAACAATACAGCAGTGACAGTACTGATACGAAGACTGCACTTTCAGAGATCTTGGTTTAGTTAATCTGGTTAGGTAGAAAGCATCATCTAAAAATCTCTCCCAAGTAATTCACATGTAGAACCAGGGTTGGGAACCAGCATATTAATGGTTCACAACTGGTCCTTTGAAAACCCATGTGCTATGACAAACCGTAATCATTACTCCAGGCTGTGCTAGGCCCTTATTATTTCTGCTCAAGTTATACTGACTGGAAGACATAATTCACATAGATAAATCTTAGCAACATAAGGAGTCACAGAGTTAACTGCCCTAGAAAGTCAGTTAGGTCACTGAAAGCAGTTGGCCAGGTTGGTAAGCGTGTGCTCCATTTAAGCCCTGTGGCTCTAGTGATTCTTGCCAGATCTTCTGAGTTTCTGAGTGAAGCTGCAAATCTGGATTTCTATGTGAAAATTCCTGAATTTTAACTGTTGGCTCAAATTGTTTTAAAGCCCCAAATACCAATCCAAACTGATTGGCAGGCCCAACTTTGCCAGCACCAAGATATCCCATTGGTTTGAAACTCTGACTTTAGTTTTAGAGCTGTTATAGAAGGACACTTACTGGTACAGTTGTATAGTATATTAATTATGTTTATCTTTTTCTGCTTCTGCAGGGATGTTGTAAAACAAAAGGTGACATTTATATATATACATTATTGGAGTTCCTCAGTAGAAAGCTATCATATACACTCAGGTAATTGTCTTTATTTTTATTTTGTTTTATTTTATTTATTTTACCTCTACTGTATTAACTGTAATCTTGGAAAATTAACCTCTGTGACTTAGAAGTTGATTACCTGGCATTGTTTTGCATATTCTGGGGACAAGCAGAGTTTGGGCAAAGCCAGTGCCATGCTGTTCTCTATGAAATACTATAGATTCATATTCTTTCCTTTGGAAGGGGAGAGGCAGGAGGAAGCTTATGTGACAGCAGCAGGTAGCAAAGAGCCATCATTCAGTGATATCTGCTGTCTGTGCTCTGGTCTTTCCACCCCCACAACACCTGCTGTTCTGATGGGAGGGAAGGAAGAGCTCGCTGTGCTAGGCAGGCCTCCAGCTTCCAATGTCTTATCTGTAAAGAGGAGCTTTCAAAACCACACTCCCTCAAAATCATAAAATTGACCCCAAATGATCAAAAATGATCACTTGTATGAGGAAGAGTCATTCACAAATCATGTTCATAAATGTTGACTTGATGAAAGGCAGAGTCAGGTAAGATAGAGGGGAGGAGTTGCATTTTTACCGTGAATGCCTAAATTTGAGTCTGGCTCTGTATCACCTCGATCAAGTTGCTTTATCTCTCTAAACTTCCTTGTTCACCTGCAGATTGGAAGCATGAATCATTATTCTTGTTGTAAAGATTCAATGAGTGTATCCTTGTGGGTGCAGCTTTGTAAGCTGTGGTAGATACAGTTGTTCATTATAATTTTAATCATCTCATTTACTTTTTGTGGTGGTCTGTGAAAAGCTCTTCCAACAAGAACCAGATATCCATGCTGCTGGGCGTCTGATCCCAGGTCTACGCCCTCCCTGCACTGTCTGTGCTTGCTCACAGAGCTTCTCCTCCTCCCCACCCTGCCAACTCCTAGCGGGACCGTGCGGGGCTCAGGCAGAAGGGCTCCTGTTCAAGGCAACACCCTGCCTTGGGCCTTTCATTTGCTACACCTTCTTACCGAAAGTTTTGCTAAACAGCAAAGGCAGTTCATCACACATGTATTTTCCCAGCCTGCTTTTGAGTGAAGGTGAGAGTCAATGGTGAAGAGGCAGCCTGCTGGGAGGAGGAAGAAGAAGGGGAAGAGGAAGCATTGTAAGCCACAGAGTGGAGAAATGCTTCCTGCTCACAAAGAAGGTGGTTGCTGTGGGACAGAGCAGTTCAGCGGGGCCTTCAGGAGTCACACGTGGACTTCTGTCTTGATCATGCCATCAGCCCCTCTGCTGGCTACACAGCCTGAACAGATCTTTGCCTTCCAGAATTCATGGGATTTCTGGAGCTTCAGACCTATCCCAAGGCCCCGTGGACTGGCCAACCCCTAATATTTGCAGGACACAGGGCAAGAATACAAATGGAGGTATCCAGCCCTCAGCTGGGCCCAGCCTTTCCTCCCAGCCCCACTGCTGTCCCGCTCGGCTGGGAGCCTGGCGCGCTTGTGTGAGGCCACTAAATGCTGGGTCCCCTGCCTTGCCCTCCCCTTGGGGCCTTCTCCAGCCCTAGCATTATACTGTGCTGTCACTTTTAAGAGGACAGACCCAGAAAGGGGCAATGCAGGTCCTGGAAGTGGGCTCAGAGCTGCCAGGCAGGGAATTCTAGAATCCTTGATCACCTAGCAAGTCTGGAAAGGGGGCATGGATGTGGGTGTGCATGTCTCCTTGAACCTACGGATTCCTCGCCCAAGGGAGCAGTGAGACCAGAGGTGGGCCAAAAGGGGATCTTTTAAATTAAAGCCGGAGTGTAAGGGTGGGGCTGCTCCTGAAGATTGAGCAGTGTCCTGGTACACAGCTGGCACTTAATCATACCTTTGACTGATGTGTGACAGAGTAACAAAGGCTGAGCAATTTCAGAATTGCAGTGGAATATGTAGGTGTTGCTCCTCTTCTACCTCCACGCTCCATAAACATCCACCTAGCAGCATGGCAAGGGTTGGAGTGGCTGGGATTTCATAAGATGGCAGAAGAGTGGCATTCCCACCCTTGTGTACTAGCAGGAAGAGCAGTTTACTGAGAAATAGCTTCACTAAACAGGGAAGAGAAACAATCCAAGGCTCTCCCTCTCCCAGAACAAGAGGACGTCACTGAGACTCAGATGGGTGTCTCCTGGATATTTTTAAAATCCATGTAGGGTTAGTGTCTTTCATATGTATTATTCCAGGTAATAGTTGGTATATTTGAAGCTGAATATCATTTGATCCTTCTGTTCACTTTTTTTTCAGATATTTCTTTCATTTAGATCAACCTACAGCAATCTATATTTAAATTTAATGAACATGAATAACACAGAGGAACTCTGAATCCCCTCATACAGCACCTGGAGCTACTGCCTGAGGGTGGGGATGGGAGTGAAGGGGGTCAGCAGTGGGCAGTTCAGCTCTCAGTCCAGTTCCATCACTGGCTCATCTCCTGGACTCTTCTCCACAGAATTTGGACTTGTGTTTCACAGTAGCACGTCTGCCAAGTATATTTTTTGGTGGATTTTTTCTTTTTTTTGAGATGGAATCTTGCTCTGTCACCCAGGCTGGAGTACAGTGGCACGATCTTGGCTTGCTGCAACCTCTGTCTCCCAGGTTCAAGTGATTCTTCTGCCTCAGCCTCTTGAGTAGCTGGGATTACAGGCACATGCCATCACATCGGCTAATTTTTATATTTTTAGTAGAGATAGAGTTTCACCACGTTGGTTCAGGCTGGTCATGAACTCTTCACCTTGTGATTCAAATGCATCGGACTCCCAAAGTGTTGGGATTACAGGTGTAAGCCACTGCACCCAACCTGGTGGAATTTTTTTAAACGAAAATATCCAATAAGTCTTAATTTAAAGAAAAAATTTTTAAAAAGAAGGCTTACGAACCCATTGACCCCAAATCAAGATCAATAGAGGAGAATCAGAAAATCATATTGGCACATGTTTGACTGCTCCCCCAGGGAAAAGGAGCTGATAAAGGGCCAGGTGTGGTGAGCTACGGAATCCTGTGTATGTTAGCATGGTATCTTCTCCCCTTCACACCAGCTGATATTCACAAACAGGCAGAGAGATGATGTGAAAACTGTGTAAATGCATAATGATAGAAATTTAAGGACACTCCTTTGAAAGAATGTATATTTGAAACATCTGGAAACTGGGGAATTTTTTATTTTTAAATAATACGTTACATTTTCAAACAATATGCCCAAGACCTTTTATGCCAGGTATCTTTGCAAGCAAACTATCTCTAAATTCAAAGTCATAGATTTAATCATTAATAAAAAATTGAATAAATGACATTTATTCTCTAATGTTCAGACACTGCAGGTACCCTGTATGAGCCAAGCTCCCTCTCTCTCTCTTTCCTTCTCTGTTCCTGCCTCTCTGTCTTACTCTGAGTGTGCATCTTTCTCTTTCTCTTTGTCCCTCTTTCTGTCTGTCATTCTGTGTTTGTCTCTGTCTTTGTCTGTCTCCCCCTATCTATTTAATAGCTAGGTGTTGTACATTTTTTCTTTAAGAGGATTCTTGCATTAGACAGGGGCTAGACAGAAAAGACTAGCCTTTTTCCAGTTTGAGGTCTTATGATTTATTTTCTCTTGTTGAGTAGTTAGCAAGGGCTGGTGATCACTGACAGAGGGAGCAGCTGCCCTGGCTGGAGAAATGAATGACCCCTCCCTGTTTGCTCAAGGTAGAAAACAATAACTATTCCAACAGGTGACTAATCCCCCAGCTCAATGCCATTGGCCCCTGGCCAGAGGGAGATCTTACTTTTTATTGCTCTAACTTTTCTTGTGATTTTGCTGTCTGAGAAGAAAGCAGTTGAGACTGTATTTGGGGTTATTTTCCTGTATTCTCTTCACCATTTTCCCGCCTCTCCTGCAGGCGCTCACGCCCACTGCACCCCACCCTCCTCTGAAAACTACTAAAATATTTGTCATCTTGTTCTTTTCCAAGAGGTGCTTTATCTTGTGGGGGCTGTAGGCTGTACAACAGGAAACTCTGCCTATAAACATTATGTAACACAAACATATGTTAAAATATTAAAATTTCAGCTTGCTTCATCAGTGTGCCTTAGTAACCCCAGATCTTTCCCTAAAAGTGACCCGGCTTCCTCTTTATCTGTGGGTGCGAGGTAGATGCTCCAAATTCCTTCTTGATCAAGAGGCGGCCTCACACCCTCCTCTAGGGTCTACTCTCTTTCGTAAAATGATTCCTTTGGTGGCACTGCCCAAGACAGGTTTCATGAGGTAAGAAATCCTGCTGTCACTGAGGAAATGAGTCACCCTGCAAGTGACACTATCCCTCAGAAAAGCTGCTCCCCCACCAACACTTGGTCACGGTGACCTAAACCCTAATGAGGGTCTTGTAGGAAATGAGAGACTGCTGGCTGGCCATCATGCCACTTAGAAGGCACAGTGCCATTGATGAGAAAATGTAAACAGTGACTGCCGTGCCAGTGCCAGCAGTATATCGGGTACTTGCCATGTGCCAGGCGTTACATTAGGTAATTGAGACATATGATGTACTTTATTTAATCCTGACCTGGAACTTAAAAAATAAACACAAAATCTTGTGTCTGTTTTTACAGATAGACTTGCCCAAGATCCCTTAGCTGTTAAGTGACAGGACTGACCTTCAAACTGAACTTCCTGACTCCAGACCCACAGGGCTAAGATTTTAGGCTCTGTGAGAAATGAAGGGCTTAGGAAACATCACTTGCTCTAACCCGTGTATCTGGAGAGTGGTGAAAATTGCATTCAGATTCCAAACCCCTTTTCCTAGCAAGCCACTAGGTCCTGGGCTCTCACATGTCCCGTCCTGGAAATCCTAGGCCCGTTTGCTGGGATTGGGAGGGAGATCTGGGCATCTTTGGAATGTGAAGCCTGTCTTTGGAAAGCTTGGAACTGACACTGCAATACAGACTCTCTCGGACCCGTCTGCGTGAATCTTACTTAGCACAGTTGTCACCCATTATGTGGGCTTTGCTTACTGAAAGATGGCTGTGAAACCCGTTAGCTCTT